AGGTAAGAAAGTGCTTTCTGGGTTTTGTGAGACCCCCTACATAAGAATTACGGATAAAATTTTGAATCCCAGACCCATCGATTTTCCTTCCCGTACCACCTTAACACAGTATCGCTCCAAAAAATGTGAAGCCCCGCCTCCCTGGGTTGGGGTGAAGACTGAATCTTGCTTAATGAAAACAAATTTCATTCCAATTTTATTTTTCTCCCCCCTTCTCTGGATTGGCAGGAGTGAAATGGAATTGCAGCAGCGTAATCATGGACAGCACTTGCGCTAGAAATATCTTCAGTTTTTAGCATGACACTGCTCTCACTTTATTGCGGTTATTGTTGCATTCTCCCTATTTCATCCTGATGAAGGTCCTAGTTCAAAGGAAGCAAAGAATGGCTTTTTTGGACATTCCAGAGTATTTCCTCTGCAATCCAGATGTTAAATCACTGATCATATTTTTACCTCTCCAGATATCATCCCCGTGGTGCGCCGAAAACTCTGGTTCCAAAAGCATGGCATCCCTAAGCCACGTCGGGGAAGGCTCCGTATGGACACCACGACAGATTTTCACTCATTGTCCACGACCACCATTTTGCTGCACATCTGCTTCATTTCCCGAATCATCTTGTTCTTACTCATATTATTACTGCATTTTATTTTACAGATGCTTTTGTCGTAACTTCGCCTTTGCATTTTATATCTTCCTACGAAGCATCTGAACACCTTCGCAGCAATGTTTTTTATGTTCAGTTTCTCGGTTATATTTTCTTCGAGGACTTTTGCCTCACTTTCTGCAAAGAAACTGGCAAATCCACAAATCCACTAGTAAGCGCCGCAGTTGGCTGATAAAGAAATCAGTCGTAGAAATAATCACAAGAACAGTATGTGGCCCTGTAGAGGGCTGAGAAGATAGAACTGTGGCTTCAATGTTTGTGGAACTATTGTCTTTTGGGGATTCCTGGGGGACACGAAATGGTCTGTCCGAAACAGTTCACTGACTCTAGAGAATATTTATGCTCATGTCCTCCTTTGAGAGTGGGTACAGAATCTTTCAGCAGATACTTTTTCTGATCCAGAATCCTCCATGATAGCAATCGTCTGCAAAATGAGGCGAACATACGTATGCTGTTTTGGGTACAGTAGGTAAACTCATGGCTTTCAGAAATTTTGATTTTGCGCCCTCTTTTGTGGGAAAGGCATGAAATGAAAGATTTTTAAGTTCTGCTATTCTAATGCGTTGAGCAACAAGATAGACAGTTTCTGTACGGTTTCCCACTACTGTTCATAGTAAAGAAGAAACTAAGCAAATAAGGATGGAGTAAATAATAAAAAGGGGGAGGAGATGAAAGAACTGACTATGGGAAAATTCAAGAACGAGTATTTGCAGCTGATGCAGGCGGACTCAAGGTATGGAAGCGCAAGGCCGCCAACATCCTCCTTGACAGTTGGAGTCAGAGTGAGGATGGATGGTTGTGAAGCTCCCTTTTATACACAAGGTTGTGACGTCACTAAGAAGCTTCGCCCACTGCACACTGCAAGGTTTCACTCCCGAAAGAGGAAGAGCTAATATGGAAAAGATGAGAAGCGATACCTACGTGATGTCTTCCACATGTTGATGACTTCTTCGTATTCCACCATGAATACGACCGCCGATATCATGACAGCAGAGAGGCTCGTCCTCGGGATGTAATAAAAACTGGGAGTGAGGACGGTCAAAGCCAAAATCACCACCAGACCTGGAAAATGCCATTTATCTATTGTCACCTTTTCATCCCACCACTTCTCTACTCCGTTTCCATCCCTCTCTTTCTATTCCGTTTAAGCCGTAAATCCAAATCTATTGATACTAGTCGTTGTGATATCGAATGAAATAATTTGTGGATCTTCAAATGCCGTTTAAAAAAAGAGAGAAATGGACCGGAATGGGAAGCAAGGTAGCGAAGTGAGAACTGACTGGCGACGACAGATCCGAATGGCGATCGGATGTCACAAGCACGATTTACGGCAGATCGAGAGAAAGAGCTCGCAGTGGGCATGGAGGAAAGGAAGCCTCCCAAGATATTCACGAGACCCAGAGCCAACATCTCCTGACCCCCCTGCATTATCTTCCCGTGTGCTACACAGACAAACCGTGGAAGAGAAGCAAATCACACTCGTGTCCACATCGTGTTTCATAGAGATGAGACCGTGAACGTACCGAAGGCTTTGGCGATGGCGACAGCATCTAGTGTGGCTACCAAAGGGACGATCCATAACCCCATTCCGAAATCGGAGATCATGTCCCAAAATCCCTTCTTCTCCTCCCCATCGGTTGTGGAGAACGGGGGCAGTGCAAAGCCTGGCAAACCGGACTCGACGTCACCTGAAGAGGAGGAAAAGAGAACTGTGCTGGTGGGATGGTTGAATGAGTCCTGCTGCCCCGCGCATACCGCCTAGTCAAGTTACGGTATTCAAGCAAAAAGTCATGATAAGCTCAAGAGAAACCATTCTCCTTGACCTTACGAGAAAATTGTAATATGGCTCCCATATGGACGAAAGCAGTTGAGATTGTCTTAAATTACCTCATGCGTAGGGATGGACGAAAGTACACGCACCTTATACGAAATGGATTAGTGGAGTGGTAGGACTGACCAACGATGGTGAACGGCTGATGATCTCTGGTGGAGCAGGCATAGGCAGTAGAAGCAGCGATAATGACGACAAGAGCGTTCCTTCCTACCATGAGGAACCAAAGGGTCTTCCTCACTGCATAACCACTTTTTCCCACTCCTCCCATCTCCCCTCCAAATCTTGTCAAGTTCTAGGGAGAAACAGAATCTTGCTAGAGTAACTAGAATGGAATTGTAATAATTTGGGTAAAAATAAAATCTCCTGCAATAGGCTGTTCATTGGATTATTGGAGTGCTTAGGAACCCGTGCGCCAATAAAGGCACTGGGGCGATTGATGAAAGACTAACACTTTCGCGATTCTTTAAATGAATGTTAAAAACGGGGAACGCATCTGTAGTCTTCTCAGCTTTCACTGGAAGGTCTATGCCGAGTCGTTAGAAACTATGGGCTCGAGCGGTAGTTGAAGCCATTCGAGAAAAGTGCGGCTTTCGAGAGGGGCGCAGCACTAAGGACCGACTCCTCACTCTCCACCTGATTCTTGCGAAGGATTAAGAGCAAAAGCGCAGCGTGATTGGAAAAAGTGAGGGGGCGCGAGACCTCTGAGACAATGTTCTTGTGCATGTCATGTCACTTTACCTTCGTTGATTTCTTTCTTCTTTTTTTGTTAAGGGACGCGGCAGAGAGGACACGTGTTCCCTCTGGTCCCCCGACGCCACGCAGCTGATAGAGAGTAAGCCCTTTTATGTGCGCTTTTTGGACCTCATAAGGCGTCCGACCGAAAGCTCCGAGGGAAACTGTGAAGACTGTAGGAGTGTGGGATTAATGGCCAGTTTCAGCGGAGGCCATTCAATCCTGACACAGCAGTTGCAGTGAGCGTTTCAGTGAAGGACTCTTTCTCGGAGCGAGTCAGGGTCTGCCAGGGTTTCGTTCTCTCCATGTCCATTCTTTGCGGCTATAGACAGGATTTATAGGGGCAGCCTGAACCCGAGAGAAATCGATATGGGTAGCGACGAGCAAAACATACTCATTGTTCGTATTTATTGTTGCATTATACAATTTTCCTACGTGAAAAAATTAATGATTACTACCAGTGTCTAATATATATAGACGATCGTGACTGACTGTCTGACTGACGCTAATTCTAACCATGTTCCAGAAAGGTTACAAATCTGAAACTTGGTACATATGTATCTTTTGGGGCGCAGAGTTCAGAAAAAATCCGACTTTGGAGGTACATGCCCTGGGGGTACACATTTTGGGGGGAGAAGTTTTTAAAAATATATATCGTGACGGATAAGGATGTTATCAAGAGATGTTACTGTTTGTCCCCGTTTCGGTGGTGTAGTGGCTGCAGATCTGATCGGTAACCATAAGGTCCGGGTTCAATTCCCGGCCATTCCGGGCCTTTCTTTTGGCTTCTCTTGCCTTCCATGTCCCGCTGCTTGAATGAAACGGAGAGACATGGAAAGCTGAAACGTGGCATGGACGTGCCTACAGATGTGATGAGTTCAGGAAAAATGCAAAATTTTAGATCTATGCCCTGGGGGCATATTTTTGGGGGCCGACGTTTTCAAGTTTTTTTTTTCCTGGTGTATTGAGCTAGTGTGGAAAGATGAAACTTGGTACATAATTACTTAACGGGATGCTGCGTGTGGAAAAATTCAGACTTTGGAATGAAATGCCCTGGGGGGCATGAATTTCAAAGGGAGATTTTTTCACATTTTTTTGCATTAGTTAAATCGATGGACATGGAAACCTGGAACTTTGCATGAATGGGACTACCAAGATAAGGAATTAAAGAAAAATGTTAAGTCTCGATACATCCACTTGGGAAAATTTCTCAAGGGGCGATGTTTAAAAAAAAAATTTGTCATGGCGAATTGGACAGAAATGGAAAGGTGAAACTTGGCACACGTATAAGTGACGTGATATTACTGAGTCGAGGGAGCATTCAGCTTTCATGGTGTATCCCCTCCAGCCATAGCTTTTGGGTGGGTCGGCTTTTCCAAACATGTTTTTCCACCAGCGAAAAGGGCAAACGTATAAGATTGAAACTTTGTGAGCATGTAGTTCACTAAGGTTTGATTTCGGTAAAAATTGTACTTTTCGATTAAAACGGCTGAGGGCATATATTTTGCAAANTATATATAGATGATCGTGACTGACTGACGCTAATTCTAACCATGTTCTAGAAAGGTTAGAAATCTGAAACTTGGTACACATGTACCTTTTGGAATGCAGAGTTCAGAAAAAAATCCGACTTTGGAGGTACATGCCCTGCGGGTTCAAATTTGGTGGGGAACCGTTTTTCCTAAATATATATTGTGACAGATGAGGATGACAATCAGAAAATCAACTGGATGTCCTGGGTTCGGTGGTGTAGTGGTAGCATATCTAACCAGCAACAGGGAGGACCGGGTTCAATTCCCGCCCATTCCTTGGCTCTCTTTCAGCTTCTTTTGCCTTCCATGTCCCATTACTCATTCCCCCTCCATAACATCATTTTTTGCTTGAGTAAAACGGAGAGACATGGAAAGCTGAAACCGGGCATGGAGGTGCCTACCGAGACGATGAGTTCAGGAAAAATGCAAAATTTTAGATCTATGCCCTGGCGGCATATTTTTTGGGGCAGACGTTTTCAAGTAATTTTTTTTTTGTCCTGGCGTATTGAGCTAGTGTGGAAAGGTGAAAATTGGTACATAACTGCCTATTGGGATGCTGCAGAAAACTTCAGACTTTGGAAGTAAATGCCCTGGGGGCACAAATTTCAAAGGGAGATGTTTTCAAATAATTTTTTTTTGCATCAGTTAAACTGATGAACATGGAAAGCTGAAACTTTGCATGAATGTGACTACTGAGACAAGGAGTTAAATAAAAATGTTAAGTCTCGATACATCCCTTGGGGGAATTTTTTCGAAGTGCGATGTTTTTGAAAAAAAAAATTGTCGTGGCGAATTGGACAGAAATAGAAAGGTGAAACTTGGCACACGTATAAGTGACATAATATTACTGAGGTGTGGGAGTATTCAGCTTTTATGGTGCATCCCCTCCGGGCATAACTTCTGGGTGGGTCGGCTTTTCCAAGCATGTTTTTTCACCAGCGGAAAGGGCAAACGTATAATATTGAAACGTTGTGGGCATGCAGTTCACTGAGGATGGATTTCAGTTTAAAAAAAGGTAATATTCGATTAAAACGGCTCAGGGCACATGTTTTGCAAAAGACGTATTTTCACGAATTTTCTGATCCAGCAAAACAGAGGTCGCATGAAAGTTTAAACTTGGCAAATAAGTACCTGATGGATAGCTGAGTAAAGAAAAAAATCTACTTTTATTATATATGGACGATCGTGAGTAGCTGAATGACTGGCATAAGTAGCTATTCGTATGATGATTTCAGGAAAAGTTCTACTTTGGTGATGCATGCCATAGGGGCACACCTTTCAGGGAACTTTTTTTTTCAAATAGTTCTCTTTGCTTCAAACGGAGACACATGGAATGCTGAAACTTGGCAAGTACGTGACCATTGACGCACTGAGCTCAAATGTCAAACGTCAAATTTCCCAAATATTTTTGGGGTTCATATTTCTTGGGGACGTAACGTTTTCAAATAATTTTTCATCTCCTACCAAATCAGGCTGAAAAAAAAGTAGCTGGTGCACTCATAACGGATGTGATGTTGATTTAAGGAAAAATTCAACTTTTTTTCGTGCGTCTCAGAGCACAGCTTTTGGGTGGGTCGCTTTCCCAAATACATTTTTTTCCGCCAGCATAAAAGGGGAAACGTATAAGGCTGAAACTGGGGTGCATGGAGTTCCCTGAGTCTACCTTTCAAAAGAAAAAAAATTTCCGCTAAAACCCATCAGTGCACTTTTTTCAGTCCCATTTTCCTGAATTTTTTTTTGAACCAACGAAACAGAGACAGAAAATATAATCTTCCCTCATACGTATCTGTTTAATGGCTGAGTACAGGAAAAATCCAACTTTTGAAATTTGTCTCCTTAGCGTAGATTATGGGAGGTGAGTATTTCAGAATGTATTCTCCACCCTTACTAAAAGGGACACAAGAAAAGATTTAAAGTTAGGCACACATAGAATCATAGAAGTAATGTTTTTGATAAAAATAAAAACTTTCGACCCCATATGTCATGTATTTCAATGGGGACGTACTTTAAATACGTGTTTCCGCAAAAAATGAATGAATTAATGACCATCCAAGGCAACGGAGCGCCGAAGGCGCGACCACAGCGAGTTTGTTTGCGCGAAGGGCAAACAAACTCGCTAGTATTAGATATGGCAATAAATATGAATAGTATGAAGTTATTGAACATACTTAAAGTTAGAACATTAGGTGTGCAACAGAGGTGTGAGAGGTAAACTGGACATAGGGAAAATCCAGCAGCCGCGTAACTACAAAGAGAGAAATACGAACCATTTTGGAAAAAGACTGAGGCACTGCTTTTCGAAGTTTGCTGTTCGGTTCGCTTCAGTTCAGTTCAGTTCGAAACCATGTAATAGTGACGGTCTGAAAATTAAGCTGTTGTTGAAAGAAAATTACTGTGCGATCTATGGAAACTTCCAAGATCGCTTGTTATGAACTCTTTGCGTTCGTTGATTTTGGTATCAATAGTTTTGTTGGGATGCGAGGCGCAGTAATGCCTGCAACGATTTTGGCAGGCGACATAAGGAATTCTATGGCTGCTTTTGCGTCGATTCGTCCTATAACAAGTTCGTAGTTGTACGATCACACGTGCACAATAAATCGGCACAAAAGCAACCATATAGCTGACGTAACGATGGTCAAAGACGCCGGCGGTGCAGTGAACGAGTCCATGACATGAAGTGGGATGCCATGTGCATCTACATGGATGCGACACGGCAGATACGTATCAGCGTTGCAGCTGCTCCGACACAATTCAGTTACTTCACCACGCAACGTAACAACGATACCAAAGTCAAGAAAATACAGTTGAGTAATTCTATATCGGTTGGCGCGGAAAAAAAGCGTAATGTTTGATGTTTTATATAACCCGCAGTGAATCATCTAGGTTTTTAATTTCTTCTCATCTAATTGGAAATACTGCAAAATTTGTTCTCAGAAAGTTTCGTGCGTTTCTACGCAGGACCAGAATCGACAACATATTATCCGACGTGGACACTGCATAAAAAGCAGCCTTAATGATGTTAAAATAGGGAAATCATTAGAGCAGTGCTGAAACTCCATCCTTCTCATGTGCAGAAAAGGTAAATTTCATGGCTCCACTTTGAATGACTGCCCCTCATTGTTCAGACAATATAGACGTATGATACTTTCAGAAAGCAACTATTGTAGAGTTTCCCATGTAATACGAAAAATCCCGAACCTAGAAAATCCACAGCTGAATTTTTTTTCGTGCCACCTGGTACAAGAAACATGGGAAAATGTGCACAGACTGCATTGTAATTTTCTCCCCGAATGGTGTAATTTCCTGATCACCACTCTGCAAAATCGTGACTGAAAAACTTGACCATTGGGATCTCCTCTCTAGTATAATTACTGATGTACTGCGAAGTGAAATTTTCTGTTGGTTACTATTATCCTGCCTCATCCTAAGCCATTTCCACCTTTATTATTTATTCCGCCTTAACAGCTTATATTTACTCTTCAGTACTTTCAGTACAGGTCCTGAGATTAATGCTGAAGGGCTCTACGGCGCAACCATGGTCCGCCAACTTATATGCCCTGTAGTTTTCCCTCTAGTTCGGTCGGTGTCATTCGTGGGAAATCTTCGGTACCTTCATTACCAGGTAAGTACTTGAGTCCTAGACCAGGTATGCAATATCCTGGAACAAGTCCTTCCAAGTCTCATTTGTCAGAATACTATTGGAATATTTCGTTCTCGCCCGATATGCACTTTTTTTAAAACATGAAGTATGTTTAATATATGTATACTTTCTGATATACAGGGTAGATTAGTCTCTGAAATCCAAAAAGGTTAACCGTTACTCCAAGGAAAGGCCTTTAGTGTCCATTTTATCTAAATTTTAATGCGTCGAAATATGTTTGTTAGATTATAAGTTCTTTCGGTACTATTATTATTGGGAGGCCAGCACTTGACGTTTTAATTTGCGCCCTTCAGAGCCAGGCAAATCCATCCGTACTCATTTTTCTCTATATCAGTTCCACAGATTTTTGTTGTTGATAAGATCGCGTGCTCTGGGACCTCAAGTACCTTTTGATATAATCAAAACTAGACGAAAGTTTGGGACTCCAACGGCGCACCACTGTACCGAGACCAGTCCATCGATATACTAATCGAAATTGACTCAACAGCCCGGACGGTCTGCGTACGAAGTGTGATCAAAAAGTTCTGGGACTGAATTAATATTTGGGAAATGAAGACTACCGGCTATTTGGATGGATCTCCTTCAAAGTAGTCTCCTTGACACTGTATACACTGATTCCAACGCTTCTGCAACATCTGGAAGCATTCCTGATAGGCTTCTTTTGGAATTGCTAATAGTTCCAGTGTCGCATTCTGAATAATTTCCTCAGTCGTTGCAAATCTGTGGCCTTTCAAGGGGGCTTTAAGCTTGGGAAACAAAAAAAAATCACAGGGAGCTAAATCCGGTGAGTATGGTGGATGGGGGACCACAGTGATGGAGTGCTTCGTAAGAAATTCTTGAATGGAAAGCGCTGAGTGTGCAGGGGCCTTGTCATGATGCAAGCGCCAATTCCCTGAAGCCTACTTTTCCGGCCGTTTCCTCCGAACTGCATCTCGCAATCGCCCTAGAACTGTTTTGTAGCATTCCTGGTTTGACCATTCGGGACAAATTCATAATGAACAATGCCCTTTGAGTAAAAAAATACGATAAGCATGATCTTCACATTTGATCGAGTTTGTCTTGCGTTTTGGGGTCTTCGAGAAGACGGAGTCTCCCATTGAGAGGACTGGGCCTTTGTTTCCGGGTCATAGCCATACACCCACGATGATCTCGAAGCAGGTATTGCTCTTCGGAGACTTTAACATGCCAAAAATAGATTGGNGTAGATGTCAAGGACAGAAAAAGTCAAAATATTTTTCACATGCCACAGAATCATTTCCTAAGCTGTTTGTACGCAATTCACAATGAGATTTCGAGCCTCGTTCTTGGAGAAAGTCGTCAGACCGATAACAGATCCGTATCAGACGTTGAGGACTCTGAACATAGTGTTCAACAGAACTTTAATTTCATCTGATTTCGATTCAAAGTGAAGCGCCAACACGGAGCAATTAAGAACCAGCCTCTTTTGACCCACTCGTGAGTCTTTAGAAACAACTATTCCTCAAAAGGCAAGATTTACGTATTTAGTCCACTTTTTGTGATTCACGCTCACGCTATCGATAGAGATAATTTCTGCTGATTGCCAAGTTAAATAGCTGACCTTCTCAGGTTCTACATACACGAGCCGTCTCTGCCGAGGCGGTACGATGACGGGATGAGCGATAGAGATTACAAAGGGCCCAAGAGCGACAGACGAGCTGAAGGCACGACACGATTGAGTGGGGGTTTTCGACTAAGTTTTCATCTAATAACCGAAAATCCAACGTTTTCATAAAATACGAAGAGTTGAAAGAGGTCGGCGCACATCGTTCAGTGTCCGATGTTCGTCTTTCCAGTACGGTTTGTATTCGGCGATGGGATGCGGCTTCGTCTACTGCATCTTCGGAACGGTGAAGAATGTTAACATCGGCCCCACTACCATCATGTCCCTGTTGACCTACGAATACGCATCGAAAGGCCGCGATCCATCGGCTGCACCCGATTATGTTACTCTTCTGTCCTTCCTTACCGGTTCCATCATCACCATCCTCGCGCTCCTGACTCCTGACGATTCGTCACCAGTAATGATGGAAGAAACAAAGTTTGGATCAGCAGCAGCACGTTGACGAAGATCCTGACATGCGAGAATTCGCCGCTCTCTCTGATCATCAGTGAGGATGCGAAGCACAAACTTAGCTGAAACGCGTCGCATTCCCAAACCTTGTGTTAAAATTGATTGACATGTCCCACGAGAAATACCAATTTCACTTGCAACTTCGCAAATAGTTAAACGTCGACCACTCCTGATGAGATCACGAACACGAGCGATTGAATCATTGGTTTTTGAAGTTGAAGGACGGTCAGAGCAAGGATCATCTTCGACGGACATGTGGCCCTCTTTAAACTTTGCGAACCACTGAAAAGTCCTCGAACGACACAGCATCTTCTCCGAAAGCTGTTTTTAACATTTCGTGGGTTTCTGATGCACTTTTCCCTAATTTGAAACAAAATTTGACGCAAATTCGCTGCTCAGTAAAATCACCCATTTTAAAATGAGGCGAAGGTACTAAAGGAATAAGACCTCCATGCAGACACTCTCAGATCTCATAAAGCAGTGGTCCTTAACGGAGGAAACTCACTGATCTGAGAGAAGCGAGTTTACTACATTTTAGAGTTCATGTGAGGAAGCACGAGGGACGTTCAAAAAGTTTCCTCCCCGAGACACTAAAAATTTAATTTCACCTGTAAATTATGGGCAGCTTCTATGAATTTTTTTCCATGTGCAACGGAAGGGTCGGTTGAAGGGGTATTAAAATTGAGTCAAGTTCTGTGATGAATTTTCTAACCTTGAAGGAGTCGATATTCTGGCTGATCTTTCTGCAGCTGAGAGGATAGCGTCTTACTGACCCTCTCCTAAATATTCTACTAGGAGATCGAACCTTCAACTTTAGAAAATTCATCATAACATTCGTGTCCATTTTAATACCCTTTTTTTAATACCCCCCATGATGAAGGGAATAATGATGTATTACAACTGGAAGTGTCTCGGGGCCAGAAACTCCCCTCGTAAGCGTAAGTTGTGAAAGTGAAGTTATGTGGGAAAAAGCTGCATTTATAAAAGTCTTACTATGAGGTACAATCGTGCTACTAACCTTTAAGAGGATGAGCAGTGCGATGCAAACGAGGCCCATAATAACATCCCAGGGATTCGACTCTTTCATATTGGAGAAGACCTCGAACCAGGTATTGACGAATCCAGAAGTCTTTATCTTCAGACCCAAAAGGTCTTTGACTTGAGAAGTTGCAATAGTCACTGCACCGGCTGACACGAATGCGGATATGACGGTGTGGGGAACGAAGTCCAATAAAATTTCTATCGGTAAATCATAAATGAAAGAGGAAAAATAGACAAGAAGGAACGGCTCTGACAATGTGGACGACTCACCCAACCGGAGGAGCGCGAGGATGGTGATGATGGAACCGGTAAGGAAGGACAGAAGAGTAACATAATCGGGTGCAGCCGATGGATCGCGGCCTTTCGATGCGTATTCGTAGGTCAACAGGGACATGATGGTAGTGGGGCCGATGTTAACATTCTTCACCGTTCCGAAGATGCAGTAGACGAAGCCGCATCCCATCGCCGAATACAAACCGTACTGGAAAGACGAACATCGGACACTGAACGATGTGCGCCGACCTCTTTCAACTCTTCGTATTTTATGAAAACGTTGGATTTTCGGTTATTAGATGAAAACTTAGTCGAAAACCCCCACTCAATCGTGTCGTGCCTTCAGCTCGTCTGTCGCTCTTGGGCCCTTTGTAATCTCTATCGCTCATCCCGTCATCGTACCGCCTCGGCAGAGACGGCTCGTGTATGTAGAACCTGAGAAGGTCAGCTATTTAACTTGGCAATCAGCAGAAATTATCTCTATCGATAGCGTGAGCGTGAATCACAAAAAGTGGACTAAATACGTAAATCTTGCCTTTTGAGGAATAGTTGTTTCTAAAGACTCACGAGTGGGTCAAAAGAGGCTGGTTCTTAATTGCTCCGTGTTGGCGCTTCACTTTGAATCGAAATCAGATGAAATTAAAGTTCTGTTGAACACTATGTTCAGAGTCCTCAACGTCTGATACGGATCTGTTATCGGTCTGACGACTTTCTCCAAGAACGAGGCTCGAAATCTCATTGTGAATTGCGTACAAACAGCTTAGGAAATGATTCTGTGGCATGTGAAAAATATTTTGACTTTTTCTGTCCTTGACATCTACTGCGTCGATATGCTCTTAACACATTCGCTGCCAACCCCAAGCCACTTTTTGGTGGTCATTTCTCTGAGACCAAAATAATCCTCCGAATTCTCATGTGTGAGTTGCACAGGCGATTTCGCGAAAGGTGGGAATCCGTTGGAGATGAACGCAGCGGATGGCTATCGATAAGTCGTAATGAGTAAACTTTGGAGGCCCTGTTTGAGTTTGTCCGTAGTGACCGATAACAATCAATTACTACGGGGGAATGTCAAGCCGATCGTGGAGTGACGTTACTCTAAAATCTTACTCATTGGACCTCGCGCCTTGCGTCTTGAAGCTGTTTCCCGGAATGATCTTCCTTCTGAAAGGCCGCCACTTCTACGGTACAGACGCTCTCGTCAGCTGAGGCCAACGATTTGAAAGAAGTTGCCAGAATGGGTTGTAAGCAGCGTTCCAAGCTCTTTAGAAATGGAGAAGTGTTTCCGCAGGTCAATGGAACTTCAGGGTTGACCAAAACGAGTAAACAACTCAAAATGTTACAAATTCGAATTTTTGGACAAATGAACTTGAAAATCTAAAGAAGTATTGTCTACAAAGTTCGCCAAGAGCTGTTAAAGTTCCGTAAGTCTTTGGTCATCCACTCGTGAGTTATGGCAGATTTTATCGAAATAGTCAAACATCTGGGTGAACAGGCATGTGACTGCCGTTGCGAGGCACGAATCCACATTTTCTTTTAAAAGAAAGAATCGGTTTCTTTGTACGAATCCTCGCGAAAACTTAACAGGACTTGACAAATGTGCTGTTCTATCTAAAAATTTCATGCATGAGCATGCATTTTCAAGCATTCCCATGCAAAGATAAATTTGTGCCTTGCAGTGGCAGTCGCAGGTCTGTTCACTCTTTTCTTCGACCGTTTCAACAAAATCTGCCATAACTAATGAATGGGTATAAATAAAGAGCACGAAAATTTGAAAGCTCAAGGAAACATAATCAGAGAGCGTTCCATTAAATGTTCAAGCCAATCCGTTTAAAAATATGGATTCCATAGCAACATTTTGAGTGGCTTACATTTCTGGCCAACCTTGCCTGTTTATTGTATTTCTAAGTTGATCATATTGAAACTTAACTTCTGCACATAGTTTGCTCGTATGAAAACGAGTTCTGGAAGTCTTTAATAGGCCCTCGTACGTAAGCAACTACAAATGAAGAGTCCATATGTTCCTGCATTCTCATTTTTATATGATGTGTATACATAATAGGCAGAAACGTGAAAGAAGTTACTTCTATCTTACATATGGTGCACAGACGGTTTCATCTTGAATATTAAGCTTAAAAAAAACGCGAGTCAAGACGCGCATCAGTTTCTTTTTTTAGTTGACCTTATCGGGAGGCACTGATAAAATTTGAAACACGAAGGAAGAGCCCACGAGATTCTAGATTTTACTGAGCAAAACAATGCAAACGACCCTCCGGCAGGTTCGTATGGTGCAGAAGAAGAGAGCAGTACGACCCGCCGGCGGGTCGTATGGTAGCGAAAGTGTTGACAGGCAGAGTCGATTCCGACACCCTAGCGGCAGTTATACTGGGACCTTAGACGAGCGACTGCGCTCGTTTTACCCTCTAACATACATGACATACAATGTTCCTCCGTGACCAAATTTCACGCGGTTCACATCAAATGAGAATGAATTACAATTTCCCAATAATTCCTCTGAAAATTTGTCAGTTTGCGATAACTAATGGACGTGTCAAATTCATTTGGGGAAAACATGGACTGAAAAACTTCTGGAGAGACCGGCCTCCCTTGCTTCCTCAGAATTGCCACCACTGCCTTTCCGACCTTCGGTCCGATGCACCAATGCCTTCGAGCGAATTTTATACTACTCAAGTGTTCCAGAGCCCACCAGGGAAAGAATTCCATCGCGGTTCTCTTCCTATTTCTCACGGAGACGATTTTGCAATCACTTTGAAGCTCACACCCTCTGCATTATTTTCCGCAAACCCACTACCTACGTTTCCAACAGCATCTCCCGCCAAAATATTCCAAACCTATGAGCTCGTGTCTCACTCGGTGTGGATTACGTAAGGCACGGAACATGCAATACTTGAGGGAAATGAGGGTACTATACTCGTTCGCATTCAGTAACTTTTCGGCTTATCTGACCTACGATTCTGCTGCCTTAGCCTGACGCCCCAGGCCTACAAGTCCATGCCTTTCTAAGCCATTGGCTAGGCGAATGGGAATGGGAAGATGTATACCACTACGCTTGTGGATGAGAATGGATGAAGGAGTTAGCGCGAACGCATACCTGGACGGGAAGACCGGCCATGACAGACATCGCGATGCCTTGAGGAATGATCATCATGCCGACGGTTAAACCGGCAACGAAATCAGAGACGAACGAGGCCAAGTTGTAGGATGGGATCCACAGGAGACAAGGTAGCCGATTTCTTAGGGTCTTCCACTGGAAGCATCTTCTCACGCATCCCTTCACCGACTTCCCTTCCATCATCTGCATTTACCAGTCACAAACACGAAACATTACATTCCTCTTTCACCCTCTCAATCTTTTCCAGCTGCGCTATGTGATTAACTGTATGCCTCCCGCGTGTCTTTTTCGTATATATAGGGTGTCCCAAAAGGTATGGAAACATTTCAAAAATTAATATCTCACTAAGTTATGCCTCAAATAAAATGATGAAAACAGTAAAATGAAGTGCAACTCAAACATTTTTCAACCTGTTATTGCAATTCAACATGGTCACTATTTGTGGCCCTGTAGACGCCCAAACGATGTTCAAGCTCTTACCACAACTTACTCAGTGTCGTGCATAACTGCCTGGATAGCAGCAACAATTCTGTTCTTCAGATCAGATTGGAGATTGTCAATTTTTCTTGAGTAAGCAATGTCCTTGACATAGCCCCACAAGAAAAAAAAAAATCCAAGAGAGAAGGGCTCAGGCACAATAAAAGTGTAATTTTCTAAGATGTTGCAACTCCACATTTTAGCAAGCTAAGGCATGGGGCAAAAAAACCAGATCTGTGGATTGGACAAAGCAGGTTCATTCCAGGGCAACCAAGATCACCTGAACTAACCCTAGAGGACTTTTTCTTGTAGGCTATGTCAAGGACATCGCTTACTGGAGAAAAGTAGACAATCGATGAAGATCCAAAGAACAAAATCGTCCGAGCTATCCTGATAGTTATGCCTAACACACTGCAAAAGGTGTGGTAAGAGTTCAAACATCGCTTATATTTTTACATCTACAGAGTCACAAATGGTGCCCATGTGGAATTGCAATAGCGGGTTGAAAAATGTTTGAGTTGCACTTCATTTTACTGTTTTCATCATTTTATTTGAGGCATAATTTAGAGAGATATTAATTTTTGAAATGTTTCCATACCTTTTGGGACACTGTATTTTCGATTGCCTTTCACAAAGTCAATAAAAGTTCGTTTATCGGAAACCCTGTTCATTGGAATCGAGCTGAGATTAAATCGAGTGGGATTCTCGAGAGGAGCAAGTGATTAATTGACAAGAAGTCTGTCGCCGAGAGACAAGTACACTTTGATAAGAGGAACGAAGACTCAACGAGACCGGTCCACACTCCAAGGTCAGAGTCAAAATGGAAATCAAACCATTCCATCCGCTACTCGTCTGACCTCTTCAGCAAGGATTCGCCTTAGGCATTTTTATTTTTCCTTTTATTTCGTTTTCTCGGCACGAGTAACCGAGACTAGATCGGCCGAAGACCTTCCCCTGGTCTCTTTTCGACAGACCTACATTTCTGCTTACGACCGAGAAATTCGAAAGGAGAGCCGCCCGAACGTGGTCGTCTCGGAACGTTCAAACCAATCTTCAGGTATTCGGTTTTTCCCATTCTATCCTATCTGCAAGGCAACTCGTCGCCGCCTAAAGTCGGAAGAATTCAAGGGAATGGATTTCCAGTAATTTTTTATTTCCTGACAATACCCAATCGGTGCAAGTGTCATCAATGATCAATAAACTGTTTAGCCGCCTTGATATATACATGACAGTAAATTTTTCTCATGTTCACTCCAGGGCAAATGGACTGCTATTGCTATGATGGCGAGGCACCTCCTATGACTACGATTCCATAGAATTACAAAATTGGTTTTAGGCGATCTTCACTCAGTTTAACATTATTAGAACGAGTTCTTCGTATAAAGACAAACTGAGACTTACCTCCTCTCGGAGGGAGGTGAGAGGCTTCTTGGGGAATGAGAATCACTCACGGAACGGTAGAGAAGGGGGAAGAACCGAACGGACGGCTCTTTCCCTGACGTTGAGTGAGACTGGTCTCGTCCACCACCTCGCATTCCTCTTCATGCGAACGGGGAAGTCTTTCTTTTTCTTCCTTCCATTCGTCATTCTCAGCAGAGCAAATGGACACCTCATCGCTCGACCGACTCCCTGAAATGCTATTCCAATATCGATCGACCGGAAAAGGGCAAGTTCAGGCCATCGGTTTCTTGTTTTTCCTTTCTCTCTTCACCTGCTATTCCATAGGTACTGTGACGGATGAGGATGGCATCGAGGGACACGACTGAATGTCCCGGGTTCGGTGGTGTAGTAGTAGCACACCTGATTGGCAATCTGGAGGCCCAGGTTCAATTCCCGGCCGTTCCCTGGCTTCTTTCGACCTCTCATGCCTCCGTCGTCCGTCTCCACTTTCCCCCTCCGTAACAGTACTATGGGAAAATGGCAGAAATTGCGATCGGTCTATCACATTTTTTTGTATTTATTTTTTAATTTCCTCTGTCCGCAGTATCCATAGCGATAGGACAATTCGACTCAGTGAACAATGTGCAGCTTTCCGTCTGGGTCGGGGTGCCAAGTCTACGACTAAAACTTCCACTTCCCTTCCAGCCTTCGCGGATGACGGATCCCTAGTAGACAATAGGAGAGAGTGGTTGCTCGCGGCCGCGTAAAGAGGTTGCTGGGCGTACGCGTGAAATGCCGCATCTGGTATCCTACACTTTATACTCTCTCACGTTGACCAGGGTTGTAGTGACCAGTGGAATTTGCGGAGCTGCACCTGGGCTCTGGGCACTCTAGAACCTGGGAAAGTGACTTGAGTCTCAACTCCTCGCATATTTCTTTCAAGTGTGTATCTTGTCTGAAACGACGAAAGGAGAAGAAAAGGAATAACGGTAATGGGTGGAATTTCACATTTTAATACGCTGATGTTTGAAAAAAAAGTAAGAAATGGTAATTTTCATTGGATGTGCACTTTCTGTAATGGAGAGCATCTTTTGCCCCTGAGGAACAAAGGTGATGTTTTATTTCAAGGGCGAATACTTCGAAATAACCTGTTCGATTGAACCACATATATTTAATATTGTGTCCTATCGAAATGAATATTTAAAATGTGTTCCCCAAGGAAAAATATAGGGGGACCACCATATTACGTTATACCGGCTTCATGGAATTATTTTGACCTATGGGGATACATCCCTGAGACCGGTTCAGATACCTGCCTTCCACCTCTCCTCGAAAAAAAGGGGAAAGTAACGTGATTATAATACGAGGTGCGGTCAAAGACATGTGACAACAACAATGGTGTCAAGGCTGTCCCCGCTCGTTAATCTTACTGCTGATGCAAGTGCTTGTAGTTACATCCAAGACCTACTGACAGACGGCTTCTCACTTTCGCAGGGTGGTTCTGGTAGCCAAAGACGCCGCAACAAAAAAGTATGTGCACCAGTGTGGTAAAAATATCGGTACAAGTCAGTGAAGCCGAGCAGAGATCAATTACCAAATTCCTCATCCACAAAGGGAAAAAGGGCAGAGAGATCCATGAAGAGTTGGTCGGATATCGTGGTGACAGCGCACTGTCTTACAGGAGTGTAGCCCGCTGGATCAGTGAATTCAAGGGAGAGAGGATCAGCGTCGAGAAGGGATTCGGCGGTGGGCGCCCGTCAACAGTGGTGACAGATGCAAACGCTCGAGCTGTGGAGGACCTGATAATGAGCGATCGAGGCACAACCGTGGAGGAGCAGGGCATATCCCATGGTTCAGTGCTAACGATTATTCATGACATGCTTGGCATGACGAAGGTAGCTTCCCGATGGGTTCCCCACATGCTGGATGACGACAAGAAGGCTTTGCCAGATCTGGAAGCTGGAAATGGAGATCAAGGGACACGGCTTCCTGAATAGGATCGGCACTATGGATGAGTCATGGTTCCATTTGTACGTACCCGAGACCAAGCGCCAATCTCTTCAGAGGAAGCACAAGACTTCTCTGCCCCCCGCAGGTTTCGAACGGAGAAGTCGGCTTCCAAAGTGGTATACGCCATTTTCTTCGATAACGAGGGCGTGATTCTAGCTCATCCCATGCCACAAGGTTCGACAATGACCGGCACCTACTACGCTTCCCTGCTGCCCTTGGTTCGCCTAGCGATTGCTGAGAAACGAGGGAACAAGTTCCGGGATGGCGTTATCTTCCATCACGACAGTGCTCCAGTTCATCGGGCACTGATCGTTTTTGAGGCATTACGTGAGAACAAATTCACGCCCATGGCTCATCCGCCGTACAGTTCTGACTTGGTCCCCGCTGACTTCGCACTGTTCCCCACACTGAAGGATCACTTACGCGGACGGAGGTTCGAGAGTAGAAGTGCTCTCGAATCGTCAATCTTCCAGTGGCACTCAGTGCAGGACAAAGAATGGTTCGCCGAGATCTTCAGGAAGTGGGCGAAGCAGTGGAAGTCCTGCATTGAACTCAATGGAGACTTCGTTGAAAAGAAATAACCATAGTTCCGTTCTGCTACGTACGGTTTGGCTTCACCAGAAAAAGTGCCATTTGTTTTTTACCGCACCTCGTATATGGACCGATTTGCCTAGAAGTCTTTTAATCAATTACACAAATTATTTGCCTTGATTCGGTCTGTCAATGCCCTTTTTGAGCGAAACACGGAGGAGAAGATGAAAAAAAAAAGCGAAAGCCGAGAAGGTGGTCTAGTAACAGAATGATTAGGTCCACTTCACACGAGAAGTCATTTTTCGCACCTCACACCATGAAACTACTTCTTAACTACTCCGTTCAGATTTTTGGTTGCGCGATCATCGTCCTAGTCAGCGGTTCAGATTTTCGAGAGTTTGAAACCGCGAAACTGTTGAGTGGGTGGTTTTTGTCGAGTGCATATTTATTGCCGGCATCAGGGCATATTTCCGATATGCGTTTTTTGTAGCCTCCAAATCTCGTTCAGAAATGTATACCACTCTCCTGAGAAGACTTTCGAGAACTCTTGTGTCGCGTTCTTCCAGGAAGCCACAGTATACCTGAAGAGCATACAGGAGAACAGGGACGATACAGCAGTCAACAAGGAGTGACTGTACTGTCCTTGGTGATGTGAATGGATCTCGGAAGATTCAATGCAAAGAAGGAGCAGCCATAGAATTGTTTGCAAAGTGCTAGAGACTGGTCGTGGACCAGTCATCGTTTACGAGACCAGTCAGTTTAGCTCATCATCGATGATAATGGGCGACTGC